TAATCACTGGAGTTTGAGTTGCACAAGTCAGAAGGCAAGTTATTTATAGGACAATCTTAAGATTTTTATATGTTTATATATTATATGTTATAACATATTTATATGTTTATATATTATTTTAGACATTTTTATATGTCTAAAATAGCAGAGAGAGAAAGAACTATATGAGAACATAACCACCATCTCCCATGTTTTGAACAGTTTATGGAAACAAACAAGATAAAATATCAGGAAAATTGTATTTTAAAGGGGGTAAAAAACCCAAAATCCGCTCCAACCTCCCCTGCCAAAAAAAAGGTAAAAATCTCACCTAGATCTCATATAACATATAGTAAAGAAACCCACCCAGTTTCTTCCCAGAGGCTTACTCTAGATCTAAATTTAACCTTTCCACCTTCATTAGCAATAATGAAGCAGCTGAATTTCTCAGTGTCATCAATAAGCACGAGCTCAAGCCTCATTTCTAAGCCAGACATATCAGCAGATTAATGCTGGCTGTTTAACAAGCTGTACTTCATCCCCTACAAATGTTGAATCAAATTGCTTTTAAAAATGCCTTCCATGGAACGCAGAAAATAATATAAAAAAAGGAAGCCTTAATCATCTTTTTCCAAAGCACAGAAGTTGTAATTTAAAGTCTAATGTTAGCCTGACTTCCTTGTGAGAGCAACTCACTGTTTTCCCTCCTGGAATAACAGCCCACTCACATTTCGTTGCTGCCAGGTCCTCGGGCTTTATCTCACTTTGTGCACTTGTAACGAGGTCTCATCGGAGCTGTCCCTGGCCACAGCCAGCCTGCTTTATCCACATGGTATTCCCTGAGCCAGGCCCTTAACTGAGCTCTGTGCCACTGCTGCTCCTCAGCCTCAGTGCTCCATTCATCAAGAGGAAACAGGTTTTGTTTGGGGTTTCTATTTGGTTTTGTTTGGGTTTTTTTCATTCCTATAAACTTGAAAAGTTTATTGGACTAAAGGATCCTCCTACCTTTCAAGTCTCCTGATGATAAAAATTTCCCTGTCTGCATGAGCATGTAATGCATGCATCTGTTACTGCATGATATCAATAAATAATTTTAACCCAAGGCAGGAAAATTTCATAGAAAGATAAAGAAGTGGATTAAAATTGTTCAGAACCAAATCCCTAATTAAATAAACTTTGTTTTCCCATTTCTTGAAGGAAGAAAATATATTTCTGTGAGTTTGGTCAGGAAAAGGAATAATGAATATGCCACTTAGATAAACAGAGCATCTAAGAATGTTAAATATTTTAAATAGGTTGCTTAGTACAAATACTGTTATTTTATGAGGGTTAACCTTGGCACCAGCAAAAGATAACAAGTGATTGTTTAAAGAACACTGTGGGGTAAACAAAACCATGTCTACACAAAATCCATGTTTCAGATGGGGAGTTATTGTCCCATTTCCTGTCTATTTTAAACTTGTGTAATGTGGTCATATAAATATTGGAAAAATAGAGGGTGATCATAACCATATTAAGGAGGATGTGAATCAAACACTGTAGCTCTGAAGAGAAAGACAAATGCAATTTTTGGCAATCCAGTTGAAAAAAGGCACAAGGGATTCTGCTGCATAGGAAGAACCTGTTCTCCCATCTTACGTTGCTATAAAAGAGCAGGAAAAAAAACCCAGCTGTATTAGGTATTCTAATGTATTCTGTTGCTCTTTTTTACACAGAAAACTAATGGTTAAATTTAAGAAAGGCTATGTTCTGTTCAAAGACTTGAGACTACATGAGGAAAAGTGCTGAATGTGCTATGTGTATCTTGAGGAAAACCCAGGAAAAAAACTGAAACAAAGTCCTCAGTTTTTTTGTTACATTTCCTCCTTATGACATCTTTGTTGAGCTCTATTACATCCTTCCTTACACCAAGCAGAAAAGAAAAACTAAGCCCAAATCCCATCCAAATAGATTCTATTATAAATTATTCTTTCTAAGGAATCAAGAGGTTAAAAAGGCAGAATATTAAGTAGAAGACTTACTCAGGTTTTTGCAATAGAAGTATGGGGAAAAACAGAACATTACAAAGACTTCTATGAATAAGATCTTTTGAAAATGGGACTTCACGCAATTTGGATGCTTTTATTTGTGTTCTGCACTCTCAGGTGTGATCCCACATGGCATCTTCCTCTCCACACTTACCCTGATGGATGAAAAGGAAAATACACTGTAAGGACGCATACCCATCAAATATTTTGGGATATGCAGTCCAGACAGAAAGCACAGCCTAGCAAGGATAATAGAAATGGTATTAAAGTCAGCTCTCAAGAAAAACTGCAAAATTATTTTGAATCAAAGTGCTTCAGATTCCTAATAAAAACTGAACATATTTCAGTTTGGGCTCTTTAAACATTTCAATGGAATATCTAAAATTTCTATTAAAAGATATATTTTTAAAAAATACAAAGCATCTAGTTATGCAAATAAAATGTTTCAATAGCTCTACTTATTCTAGTTATTCAGTAACTAATACTGAAAATAATCATATTACATTTTTTCATTTGTCACAGTGGAAACCATAAATGCCAGATGAAGTTAAAAACTCCCACATTAGGAGTTCACCTATATTGAGACAGAATAAAGCAGAGCTTGTATCTGGTGTTGAATCTTCTTTTGAGTTTACTGGGACATGTGCTTGCTGGATGGAATCACATGGCCTGCAGAAAACCCAGCTTCTGTTCTCTCTTAAGCTCCTGAAGGAATTGGAAAAAAATTGGACCCACGATCTCACACAAAGTATTTGGCATATGACCATCTTTCATGTAGCACTTAATAAAGTCACTATTGGAGCTTTCCAATATTTCCAAATTAATGTATCTGTTTTAATTAACCTGAGTTTATTTACTCTTTTCCATATGAAATCTTGTGCAAAGCAGCACATGATCCTTTCTCAGTTTTAAATATTAAATTTAATGTGTCTCATGCACACACACTACAGGCTTGTGAAAGTCTTGCATGTCTTTCTATTTTGGAGCAATTATTCCTCATCTATTCACTAGTTTCAACTACATGCTGTGTCAAGTAGCAATGCAGAATCCCACCTGCAAAATCATTGTCCTACTTTTACTTGTTTCAGTTCAATGTAACAACTTTCTCTCCCATCATGCCCACATCACACACTTATCCAAGCTTTCTCACACACAACCTCCTCCTTAACTCCCCCCACACTTTCAAAATTTCACATTTCCAACTTGTCTTCCACATGAGCTCACTTGCTCAGAGGAGCATCTCTTGTTTAAGAAATAATTTTGAAAATGCAGTCTTGTTTTACTAAAAATTGTTCTGCTGTTCAGATATTATTAAATATCTGCTTATATTTTTATGTTTTTTTTTTTTTTGTGGATATTCATGAGGATTTTAGCAAGTCACGTATTTGCCTTTAGGTACGTGGATTTGCAAAATATTAACACTGATGACAATTTTACATGGTGTTAAGTGTTTTTCTGTTCAGCCTTATTTATTTTCCCCTATGATGCCTGAAAGGTAGGCTGGAAATCAACCCACATAAGCCAATGTCTACACAGCAGGTATTTGTTTAATGCAGCACCAGTGGTGAGGGGCGTATCTCCACCTAACTCAGCCACCTTTGTCAAGAACTGTGGTATATTTACAGAGTAAGTATTGCTTAGTATCACTATGGCACTACAACATCACCACATTCGTGCTGGAGTTAATCTACATTGTATGAGCTCATGGTTATAGATAGCTCTTTTGCACTGCATGTTATTTGCTTGCATTCCCCATTTTGGGTCTGTGATGAAGGCTGCTCAGGTGTTCTTCACACCTGAACTTTTCAGCTTTGTCTTTGTGTGCAGTTACAGTGTTCCTTGGTCTGTATGGTCTTAACCAGCCTAAATTCTTTGTTTCTTGGCTAATTGGCTTTGCACTTGCCCATTTTGAATTAGTACTAAACTTATCTATCTCTAAAGCCATGCACCTGGTGGCATTAAGCCATCCTCAGCATTAAGCAACTTGTTAACCATATATTAGCCATTATATTGTATAAAAAGTTATGATTCAGGGTTTATAGGTATCTGGTTATATAGATACATAAAAAGTCATGACTTAGGTTATATTGATGCAACTCAACCTATATAAGCACCTTGTAACTTTGATCAAAGTTATGCAGGCATCCCTTATAGGTTTTCGAGGAAAACCAAGATGAAAGCCAGTCAGTGATCCAGGATGCTCCCTTCAGAAACACAAGGAGCAGTGTTTGGGTGCCAATCCTTTTTGGGGATATGGATTGGCTGAGTGGCTGAGGGGATGACCCGGAATTCGAGAACAGGAGGAAACAAAAACTAAGGCCACCACACACCTTACTAGTGCTGCTGTTCTGGGGTGCTGAGGGCACTGAGGCCGTTTTTCATACCCTTTTCCCCACATTTTCTACCCTTGCTGGTTGTGACCTCCCCAGCCCCAGCGGCTGCGGGAGTAACAGAAGGTGCCAGGTTGGAAGGGAGCACAGTGGGGCATCTGATCCCACCTCCCTGCTCAGGCGGGGTGACCCCAGAGCACAGGGAACAGCACTGTGTCCAGACAGCTCTGGAATACCAGGGACAGGCCCGCCACACGGACCCCACACCCGCGACACTGCCGCCTCACAGACACCGCGCCGCGGCCGCTCTCCCGACATTACGAGGCACCGCGCGCATGACGTCAGGTGCCACAGCCAATAGCGGCCTCTGTTTAATTGGGGGCGAGGCGGGAACGGTGCCTGCGTGACGTCACGCTGTCGCAGCCAATAGCGAGCACTGTTTGCGGAGCTTCACTGCATATTCATTTATGCATATTCATAGCCACGCACTTTCCGTGCGGTAGCGGCCGCGGCGAGGGGCGGGCCCGGCCCCGGCCCGGCCCCGCCCGGCCCGGCCCCGTCCGCCCCTTCCCTCACAGGAAGCCGCGGGCCGGGTGCCTGCGGAGCCCCGCCGGCAGCGGGAGGCGGAGCCGGCCCGCCCGTATTTATGCTGAGCCCTGTCACAGCGGCGCCGTGAGTGTGGGGCGGAAGCGCCCGGCCTCGTTCGTCCCGCCCGATTGCAGGCGACGAGGATGAGCCAAAGAGACACCTTGGTGCATCTCTTTGCCGGCGGGTAGGTGAAGCCCCGGGCACTGCTCCTGCGCTTTCCCGTTCTCCTCTTCTCCTCCCTGGGCTGCGGGTCTGGCCCCGCTCCTGTGCCCGCTGCTGGCTGGCCTGGGCGCGGGGGCGGCGGCGGCCTGGAACGGCTGCCTGGGGACATCTCGGTCGGGCTGTGGGGAGCTGCCCCGCTGCTCTGTGCCCGAGGGACCGTGAGGAGGAGAGACGGGGCCGCGCTCTGCTTCCCGCCCCGTGCCCTGAGGCCCTTCCGGGCCCGCTGCGCGCGGTCGGGCCCGGCCCCGGGTGTTGCGTTGTGTCACGGGTGGAACTCGGGCCCTTGGGGAGGCGGGGGGGGAGGCTTCCCGTAAAACCAGTCCCCGCTCTCTGATCGCCGTTCCTGGGTTTGTCTCTTATCCGGCGTTTTCGTGGAGAAGCACGCAGGGCCCGCTGTGCGTCGGCTCCCCGCTGTACGGGAGGCTGCCGGGACTCGCCTGTCGGCTTCGCGGGCTGGGAATGCCCCGCTGGTCACGCTCGTGTCCGAGGGCCGCTGTATCCACGCAGTGCGTTGTAACGCTCCAGTGTGCGCTGCGCTTCCCTGCGGGCCTTTGACACGGTCATACAGCTCTCCAACCACAGAGGCAGAAGAAATGGGAGGGGAAAATATGTCCAGAAATAAAAGGTGTAGCCTTAGTTAGGCTTGAGGAGACTTTTGTACCTTCACAGCTATTAATGAAGTTTTAAAATGTATGTTTTTAGGTTTCAAAATATATGGGCTGTATGTCTGAAGCCTGTGGTTCTTCCAGGGCAGGGTAGGAAGGGCACTCAGCCTAAAAGATAAAGCTGGGGGTCCTGATGGGCTTGATTGTAATAGTGTATTTGGGTAGTGAGCATGACTGTACAGAAGTGAGAGGACACACTTTGCATCCCATGAGAGGGCTTGAAGCTGTGACTTCTCTTTGTGCTCCTCACGGACAAAAATGAGCTTACCGCTTCTGGATTGAGGTGTTTGAGGTGGAAAAATAGTGTATTGATCCTGAGCAAGTCTGAGTGACTTGGATACACGTCAGTACTTCCTCTACTTAGGACACACTTTGAAGCATTGTACACCTGATGTAGTGCGTGCATGGGGGCTTTTTCATCACCTTGATTTCTTGCACCCTGTTTAAGAGAAGATCGGTTACGCAGCAGGAGGCCCAAGATGCAGTAGTGTGTACTGTTTTCTTCAGACTTTGCATCCTTGTAAGCATTCAGAAAAGCAATAGAAGGAGCTCAAGGAAGATCAGGACCTTCTGGAAAGGGTCCAGTAGAGGGCTACAAATACGATGAGGGGTCTGGAGCATCTGTGTTATGATAACATACTGAGGGAGATGGGCCTATCTTCTGGTCGAGTCTGCAGAAAAGACTGAGAGGGGATCTCTTTAATGCATATGAATATCTCAAAGAGGTGCCAGACTTTTTTCAGTGGTGCCCAGCAACGAGATAATGAGCAGGGGGCATAAACTAAAACACAAGAAGTTTCACATAAATGTGAGGAAGAACCTCTTTATATTGAGTGTGGCAGAGCACTGCAACAGGCTGCCTAGGGAGGTTGTGAGGTTTCCCTCTCTGGAGACATTCTAAACCCACCTGGACATGTTCCTGTGTTACCTGTTCCAGGTGACCCTATCTTGGCAAGGATGTTAGACAATATGATTTCCAGAGGTCCCTTCCAGCCCAAAGGATTCTGTGAGTGGTGCCTGATTGTAGCCCTTCAGCTTGGCAGCTATGCATGGGAAAGATTACTGAGCAGAATTGTGCATTATGTCAGAAACAAGTTTATAAACCTGAAACTTGAGACCAGATGAAGATTGTTCAGCTCAGCTTGCTCATTCCTATTTATTGCAGAGCAGTCTGGTCGATGGGTAAGTGCTGGCCAGCTGGGTCAGGGGTTATGCTGTGAGGAAAAGGCTGAGTGTGAGCCGCATGTTTCCTGTAACCTCAGTTCAGCCAGGCTAACACTGTGTGTTTGGTCACATTTTGCAGTAGAGTTTTTTGGGGTCATCTCATGACTTTGCAAGCATGGTGCACTACAGATCACCTGAGTGATTTTTAGTCTTCAGTAAAACTGAGAGGAAGGAAGCTTTGTAGCTTGGTTTGCATTTAAGTTGCACCAGAACCTCCATGGAAACAACATGGTTATCTCTATCGGCTGGGGTGTTGGGGTTTTGTTTCTTTGTTGGGGTTTTTTAAGGTGTTTAAATTAATTTTTCAGATCCTGCTTTCTATAATGAAACTTTGACAGATGAAATTGCTGGTTTAGTAATGTAAGTGGGGCTATCCTGGGGTTCCTCTGTAGCTTCCTAGGTGTATGGGGCTTTTTTGTGTATCCTCTCTTTTTCTCCCACTTAGTCAACTGTTGTCACTGTAGACATTATGTTGGTAGTACAAACTCAGGTGCTTTTATTCGAAACCAAGGATGCAGTTGAACATTCTTCATTCTTAAATTAAAAAGTCATGTGATTCAAATATAGGATGTCGATTAACATTTTTAGTTCAAGTAGTAAGTTACAGTTGCTTTTTTAGTTGTTAGAGTCGTAGTAAAACACGTTAATGTTTGGCTTTATAGGAAAGATTAATATGTTTTGGATGTAGTGGCTTGCAACCATACAGTGAAAATTCAGGTGTTGGCTACAAAAATAGTGTTCAGGTTTTAATGATTTATTCTTCGTTTCCAAAAAGCTTATGACAGTAATTGTGTATCATACAAACTTCCACTAGAGCAGTGAACTTGCATGAGTGTTGTTTCCTCAGCAAAAGGAGGGATTTGGGTCAGGAGATGGACAGCTGCTTTTCTAAGTTCACAGTTGGATAGTCTCAGGTTTGCTTATTTTCTTCACTCTTGGTGTTTCTTGCAGAAATTTGGCTGTTTTCTGAAGTGTGAGGAAGTATAGGGAGGAGCTTCTTTATTTATCTTGATCCTAGAACTGCCTCAAATTGGTCTGTAACTGTAATCACTCTGTCTGACAGAGGTTCTTAGCAAATCATTACAGTGGCTAAAATGGTTAAGGTGCAGAAAATGTATTTAACGTGTTTGAATTCTGAGCAAGATCAGACACTGTTGAAATATATGAAGTATAGGTAAGAGACTCGGGCTTTTCTGATTTCAGATGATTGTTAATAGTGCATAGCAGGTATTGTGAGGATGGCGGCTTTTTTACGCCCTTTCAGGGAACAGCCACTTCAGCCATAACTGAGTTGCCAAGCACTCAGCCCCTCTCTGCCCTAAAATACACTCGTGGCATAACCTAGATGTATTTCAGAACAAGTGAGAAGGAGGTTAGTGCCTTTCTGCCCAAAACTGAGGTTATTTTTATATTCAGATACATTCTGTGTGAACTAAGAGTGTTTGTTTAAAGCTTGTGGCTTGCTCCATGGGGTTACTAAGTTGCATGAAAATTGCTGTCAGTACTTGAGACACTGTGCCACTGGTATTTTTCTCATATTTCTTTCTAAATGCTTTGAGCTGTTTTTACTTAATACAAATGTTATTGTAAATATTGATTTACCCTGGCTCCTAATAGAAGCTACACTGTTCATGTTGATGTTTATTTTGGATAATGGAACCCAGTGATGCTTGATCCCCTGGTGATGCTTTTCCTGTTTTCACTTGTAAGTTTCTATGTGGCAGCACATCAGGGGATTTTCTTTTTATACTGTTCATTTGATTAGTATTTGTAGTTTATGGATGTGAGCTTAACTGAATGGTTTCTAAGTTTCAGCAAAAAAACATAATCGGTGAGTAAAATGATTAAGACTTTGTGGCTGCTGGTACTCAAATTGAACAGTATTATACCAGGAAAACGCTGAAAATTCAGGATTAATGAATGCTGTTTCTGAAAGCTGGATTTGCTAAAGCCCTTATATTCTTTCTGAAGGCTGATATTATACAGGTAATATCCAAAGCTGCAGCTCTTTTGCTGTGAAAGCTACTCTGGTTGTAAGACATCTCCATGAAGCTGCTGATAGACTTGAGACCTGATTTTGCAGTAACTGATGAAGAAATAAAAAGGTGTTCTGTTTGCAAGTGGCTTGGATACTTTTTTTTGACAGAATTTTGAGTTCAGTTTACTTATTGTTTCTTTTGACAGCCAGTGTTTGCATGGAACTTTCATTTTCATACAGGAAAGATAAGTAGCTGGTAAAATACATGAGTTGATGTAGACCCAAGATAACAGGGTCAAGGTTTATCTTTAAGTCTGTGAGGCTGTAATTACAAATACTGTGAAAGGTGAATCTGAAACTAGCACTAAGCAGCCATGGCTTTTGTTTTTGTAAAATTCATCTCAAGGAATTAAAAAAAAATTAAAAATTGCAGTAAATATTCAGAAACAGGATTATCTCAGGTCTTGCCGTTCTTCAGTTTCTTCCCATTAACACTGTGTCAGCAGGAGTGTGTTTGTTCACCTACGTATTCTAGTTGGTGAAATTCATCTAATCCTGAAGAAAAAGTTACATACTAATAAATGTTCCTACAAGTCATATTTGTTGGGGCCTGGTACATGCGTGACTGGAGAAACACAAGCCCAGAGTGGTTTTCAGTAGTAGAAAATTCTGAAGTTGTTTACAAAATCCCACCAGTGTTATTGAGAAGAAATCTCATATTTTTCAAGCTGTTAAAAAGAATGTTTTTCTGTACTGTTCTAGCTCCTAATTTGTGTTAAGCCGCAAACTAAAAGTATTCCCCTTAATTTGAACCATTGAAGAGGGGAGCAGGAAAGGTGGCAGCAAAGTGCTGGCAATTTATAGAGCGCTTGTTGTAGGCTGGAGCTGGTGGCTGGCTGTTAATGACCTGCCAGGACTCGAGCACAAAAATGTAGCTGTCTCTGCTGGTATTCCCAGTAGTGTGTTAAACAAGCAAGGCTGGAAATACGTTTCTAGGTAAAATACGCTGTCATTGATGCTGTAACAGAACAGCTGCTATGCTTCTTACAAGTTGCTTATTTGCACAGAGTGCATATTTTTGAATTGTTTCTCTTCTTTGTTTACCCACATGCTCTGTTTCTTGACAGTTTTTCATAAACAGATTTTTGTCAAGCCTCGAGATGTTTATCTTAAAGTTCAAGTGAAGTAGACAAGTCAGGGTAGTTACTGGATTATGCCTTTGTTTAGTAGTTTAATTCAAACTCGGTGGATCTTGTGAGCATTGAGAAGGTTCTGGTTCCTCAATATATCAAGACATTTATTTCCTTCAGTTTCAGATGTTGTCTCTTATTATATGGGGCTTTCTGAGTGCTGGAAAAGTGACGTGTTACTTTGACAGAAGTAGAAATTGGGGATTTTGCCAAGACTCATATTACAGAACCACACAGCACTGTAAAACTTCTCAGCTTTCTTCAGCTGTAAGAAGAAATTGGAGATCTTGAAGACTGGGGATAGAGAAGAAATTTAATTCAAACTATTAATAGTTAGTGGAAAACATTGAAAATATTCTTGGGTTCAGTGGAGACATCCTAAATTGTTTTAAAAAAGCCTAACTAAAGAAACACAACTACCAAGAAACTGCCAAGGGTGCTGATTATTTGAAATTACTAGAATGGCACAATGTGGTGCAGGAAAAGGCTGTTAAAGGGAGGCGGGTGAATCTGCTGCTTCTTTAGGATGCATGTGAACATGGTGCTGGCTGCTCTTACATCTGTTGGCTGTCACTGACCAGTGCCTGCTGTAGACAAAAACAGCAAGCACGGAGTAGCTGTGTATCAGCCCTCTTCCCCAGTAATGCACTGCTGAGTGAAGGGTGTCTGACCCATCCATCCTGAATGTCTAGTAGAACTGCTGCAGTCAGGCATCCCTTGTGATTAGGGTGTGGTGCAGGGGAGCATGCAGGGCATGTGCTCTAGGTCAGCGTTAATCTTCAACTTTAGAAAATTTTTCTGCTCTGGTGTAGTGGGGGGCAATTGAGGACTCCAAGCCCTGTTCAAGAATGCAGGTCAAGTTGTTTTTTTTTTTTGTCCTCATTTCTTCCCTACTTCCATAGCATTTATCTCATTAATATAATTCATACCTTGTGCTTTCTCTTGTGATTACTGTTGCTTGAAAAGAAGTTATTGTGTAACCTGTCCAAAATCAAATGCAGAAAAGTCTTCAAGAGAATAACCTCAAGGAGAACAGAAATGGAGGGGTTGCAGTAAAGGAAATAAACGCTAAAGCAAACTTCCTTCATTGTCTGCACAGGCATGTTACCATGGAGTGGGGTCTGTTTTGAACTGCAGGAAACACAAGACAATTTTCTGTCTGTCTCAGAGCTTTAGAGCTTTGGTAGCTTCATGTCAAATTGTTTTGGGAGCTGACCTACCTATGCTTCTCATATGCTGTTCATTCATATCTTGAGCCTTCACATTACAGACTCTTACTGTTTCCAATCCTGGCTAAAACAAATATTAGCACACCTACTCTTTCTGCAACTCTTAATTTTCAAATAAGTCTATTTGTAACCTGCTGTTAGAAGCAGGTGAATTGCTCATTCAGAGCAGGCTGCTCTAATGTCTGTGTCAGGCTGTAACTGCATGTGTGCAGCACACATTGAAAGACTGTCTTTCATCTCTCTGTGATAACGCTTTTTTCCACACTGGCAGAGAAACTCGATATCATTCCTCAATTAAACCTTGAAAGAGAATAGACTTCAGTCTAATGTTGGAGCTAGGGACAGACAGGATGCTTTTTGGCTTAGTAATAGGATATCTCTAGGTCACTGGGTTTAAATGGAGTGTTAAGTGAACATCAAACTTCTGCTTGGCAGCTCTACTCTCTGTTCACTTGATCCAAACAGATTAGGTTTGTAGGATGCAGTGCTGTATTTTTGGTATTCTGTGGTAGAAGAGAGTCATCAGGCTACCCTCCTATGAAAATTTATAGGATATTTTGAGTCTTAGCTAGTACTCCTAATTTGGACTGAACTCTCCTTTTCATTTTGGAAGACATTTTTAAAAGACTTGAACAGGCTTACAGCTTATTAAACGGTTTGGGGGTGTTTGAGCTTCTTGTGTTAGAAAAAGAAGAGCTGACTTCTTCTAGTTATATATGTTACTATATATATTTATTAGGGGAAGCAAATATGGGCCCTTTGACTTTAATACAAATTGTATTTATGTGTTAGTGGATTTCAAACTGAGCTATAGTTAGCATTAGTACCTGAACTGAAATCTAGGTTTGCCTCTTCAGGTTGGAATTTTTGTTTGTTTTTTAAAGGAGTTAGTGTCCAGGCCATAGTTTTAAGAAGGGTCTTTAGCAATGTTAGGAATACTGATCTCTGAAGAGGTTCAAGAGGCTGTCTTGGAATTCAGAATTTGTGGATTTGCTATTTTTCCCTCCAAGACTGTAGTTGCACAGCTAGGAATTAATAACTGAGTTCTGAAGAAGCCCAAGAAGGCTCTGAGCAGAGCTGTGCAGGGCAGTGTGTTCCTGGCTGCACTGAGGTTGACCAGGACATCAGGAACTGCTGTAAGCATGGCTTGCCTTAGTTAGCTCTCAGGAACAAGAGACAGACTGAAGCAAACCCAGCAAGTCCTCACCTGGTCAGCCACATGAACTTTTCTGGCTTTGCAGGTTCTGCTCTACAGTACCTGGTCTGCCTTGCTGAAGTGGACAGAGCTTGGGAAGCACTTGGGCCATTGCTGCTTTTATAGTACAATGACCTAAATACAGTCAGGCTTTTGAGGATGTTAATAAATTGCAACACCACAGATTTTACCAGTTTTTACATGTAGTCCTGTGTGCATAGTGCATAAATCTTTTCTGCCCTTAAGAATTTTTGACACTTTTTTTGTAGTCAGGAGAGCGCTAAACATTAAAAAAAAAAAAAGGTAAAATTTACCATAAGAAGTTAAACATTTAATCTACTGAGCTACTTTCCAGAACTGATTTGAACACCATGTACTATGCACCTTCACTACATTTTGTCTGTTTAAATTTTCACTTCATGTTGTGAGGTTTGCAAACTAACAGTTTGTTCGCCTTCAAGGGCAAGTAACTGTCATTGCCACACATGTTCCCATTGGTTCTTCACTTCTTGCAGTGGGACTGTGTTGACTATAATGTCAGTTCTATGTGAATGTATCCTTCAGTTTCTTTCCAGTTAAAAACGTGGTGATTCTGTTTATCTTTGCAGATGTGGAGGTACTGTTGGTGCAATTCTGACATGTCCGCTGGAAGTTGTAAAAACACGACTGCAGTCCTCCTCTGTGACTCTCTACATCTCTGAAGTTCATCTCAACACTGTGAGTGGTGCTACCGTCAACCGAGTAACCAGAGTTTCTCCTGGACCTCTCCATTGTCTGAAGTGAGTGTACCTGACACAAGGGTTTGAGTTCATTTTGGGGAGGAAGGAGGTCAAAATCTGTATAAAAGATCAGACTCTTATGTCTGTCATGATGCTACCAGGAGATGACTTTCCATGTTTTGATGTTTCCATGTTTTAACTGTGTTTCTAATTTTTTGAACGCCCTTCATGCTTGAGCTGGTATGCTGAAGTTGCCAGAGCACATGTATCTTGTACTACTCACAGCTCCAAACTGCATCCTCAAAATTCACTGGCAGTACTGTAACACTTAAGTGCCAGACTCCCATTTTCATCCTGAAAAAGCACTAGTATAAGACTTTTTTTTTTAACTATTTTTTCTTCAAATCATAGGAGTTACTGAATATGGAGACAATTAAAATTAACTCAGTTTCTTAGTCTGTTTCATCTTTCACCACCCATACAGTTTTTGCCTTTGAATATCTTCTGGTGGATGTGTGACTAGTAACATTATTTTAGAGCTAGTAAGAAATAGCTAAGGCCAGCTTTTGCAGTGATCTGTGTTGTTTGTGTAGTGCCTCACTGAACGGGGGCTGCCTTTCCTCTCCTTGTTTGCAGTGCTTGTGTAGTTCAGGAGCCAGCAGGAAAGTTGTGAGGTTACAATTATACTGCTTGTATGGCCCACAGGAAGGCTTCACTTCACCCTGGGGGATTCAGCCAGCTAAGGGGAGGGGAGTTACCTTCAGTGTTTGGGGGTGAGGGGAGATTTCCTACAGGAAGGACCTGCTACTGCTTTTTGCAATAGAAAGTTGGTTGAGTCTTGACAACTTCTATCTTCTATTCTCAATTAATTAGGAAGAAGTAGTTTGTAGAGAGCCCCCTCTGGCACATGAAGTGTAGGGTTTAAACTTCATGTGGTTAGAGGATAGGAGGTTAAATGGAGGCTGTACCCAAATAGCTCCTTGAATGGAGGATCATTCTTATGAAAGTTTAGGTTCAGAGCCTTTTCATGATGGTCTGATGGGTGAACATGTTGGGAACAGGTATGTGGGAAGGAAAGGCTAGGATTGTGACTGGCAAGGAGATCTGCTTGGCTTGTCGTGATGGAAGAGGAGTGCTTCAGCTTCTTTCTGAATGTTTGGTTATGAATTTATTTTCCATTTAGAAATGTATATCAATGAATAGCCGGTTGAATAGATGTGTTTTTGTTAGGCTTCTCTCCTAGAAGCCTGCTATTCTTTAAATGCATCCCTAAAACTGAAAATAACTTTTTTTTCCCAGGAAGCAGATTCTGAGGTAGAGGTAGCCCATGATGGACTTTATAGGTGGGGTTTGTTTGTTTTATTAGTTTGTCTTTAACAATTGCCCTCTTACACACAATGTTTATCTGTAATTCAAGAATATGTCTCTTCTGCTTTTGTTCTTTGCTTCAATGTATTTTCTTTCAGGCCATTATCAAAGGGCTTAGATGCAAAGCCTGGGTTTCAAGTTCTTGAAATACAGTAAATATGAAAAAATCCCAAATTTCATGGCAATGGATTGTAATAATAAAAATACATAGGTGCAGGACATAATTACTCCTGGTTAAGGTACTAGGGCTGTTTACTGGGGAAATAAAACTGGATTCCTTTGTCACTGTCATTAGATATTTTTTGACTCAGTTGTCAGACTTTGGTTGTGTCATAGCAAATTCAATGCTCAAGGCTCACATTACTCAGTCTAAAAGCAGAGTTATTCAGGCAAATTATGTCAGAATTTCAGTGAACTGACTGCTATAGAATCACTTCTGCATCTTAAGCATCAGTGGAGGTGACTTCAAAGGTATCTTTTGTTATGGACAAATAGCTGGGATGTTGCTGGACACGTTATGTCAGTATTCCTAAATAGCAATGGTAACTGCAGAACCACTGGTTTATTTTTGCTTAGTGAAAGCAAAGGTAAACTTTCAGTTTGATTCAGCAGCAGAGCAGTGGTGAACCACGAAGTCAGAATAGGCTTGCAATCCCCTTCAGTGCTATAGATTGCTTTCACTTGTTTGTTCTGATAGTAAATTCCAAACAAAATGGCCATTTATACAAGGGTAGTTTGCTTTATTGAGTAATTGACTTGTCATTAACCTGCATAGCTCTTTGAAGAAGAAATATACAGATCTATTTGTGTGCATTGGCCAGTGTTTCTAAATCAGTAAGCACAGTGTTGTGTTTTGTAGCATCTGGGAATGTAGTTAATTCTTAACTTTAAATCTGGTTCTAAAGTAATTGCTAGAGCAATTTCCAGTAGTGGGATGCAGGTAGTCCTTGTTTCTCCTCCCATGTCCTACCATACTTTTTAAAATACCAATGTGATTAGCATCTAGATTGTGGGGCAGACTGATTTCACTAGAACTGAATATTAATGCATAGACTCTTACTGTGCCAGGGTATGCTGCTGCATAACAGTCTTCAGCTGTTCCTAAAATGCACATCTGCATGGGATCTGTATTGCAAAACAAAAGGACTAATAATGCCTTAATTGAAGTCTAAACTCACCAATTGCACCCATGCTTCCCTGTAAATTCCACAAATGCAGGTTACACTTGCTGCCACCCAAGCAATCTTTCCTGAGCTGTGTTTATAGTACACATGGTGCAGGAGAGGTGAGGACTCCACTGTGGCTGTGACTCTGTATGGGTTACATTCCTATCTCAGTTACTATCAGTGAATTACCTTGCATGGACAAGTAAGGATTGTCTTCCCTGGAATGAGTCAAAAGCCAAAAAAACACTGGCTCCACAGCCCAGCAGCAGTGCTTGGTTAGGAGTACACAGGCAGCAGCTCAGAACTGAAAGGAGGAAATCCCTGCCAGCCTCTAGGAGGGATCACTTCTCACACTGAAGTTTTCAGCTTTCTTTTGCTATAGTCAAAATAAGTCACCATGTCTTAAAGAATAAAGCTAAAAATGGGCTTCTAGTTGAATACTTGGTAGATTTCAGCATTTTATGGGTACGAGAAAGGCAGGACAAATAGGAAAGCAGCCTTACAGACACAGACTTCTGCCATGAAACTTAGTGTTCTGTTCAGAGTCTTGTGGAATCACACTGGGGTAACACATGCAAAGCCATGTTGAGGTCTCTCTCTTTTTGAGAGGTGGAGATAATGAATTGCCAAAGGTGTCCCTGGCTGGGTGTTATGGGCAGTAGAGCAGCATCTTCCAGAGTGGCTCTCAGACAGCAGTGACTGAGTGAAACTGGACTTCTGAAGTCTCTCTCTTCTTCTCTCCTCTTTTGCCCTTTGCTCCCTGGCCCTCCCACTCAAAAAAGTTCACAAACATTGGGAGCTGATGGGTGGTGAAAGGAATGTAGTGTAGAATAAAGTATTTTTGCCTCCTGAACAATCTACAACCTACATGAATGGGAACATTTGCAGGCTTAGTATTTTCTCCCTGATTCAAGGACCCTTTCTTTAACTTCCTAACAGACAACTCTGTATGTGTTCCTGTATATGTTAAATCTGTATTGAAATCTCAAGTCTTTCTTCTGTATTTAGTTTATGGTTTTCATGGTATGTTGAGCAGTAATGTAATTTTCTTACACTGATGCTAGGAAATTACTAATTTGGGTTTTTTTTGTGGTCAGCACTGTATTATTGTCAGTTAGTATGAAAGTGTTTCACATGATGTAGTTTTGGTGGTTAGTGCATTACTTAATTTTGCTCTGAGTGTTCCAGTATTGTTGTCTTGTTTCCTAGGATGATCTTGCAAAATGAAGGCCCTCGTTCTTTGTTCAGAGGGCTGGGTCCTAATTTAGTTGGCGTTGCTCCTTCCAGGTAAGTACAAACATGCACAATAAATGGAATACACTAATTCCATGTATGAAATTACACACTTTAATGTGTATTTGAAAGAAATCTTGTATCTGCAGTTGTAAATACTTAATTAGCAGCAAGTAACCTTTGGTTCCTGGGGTAATTTTTTGCCTGAACAATTGAGCCATTTATGTACTCCAGAGCTCCAGCTCTCTCAGTATTTCCTATCCCATGTGCTATTGTAATAGTATTTATAATTGTGTGCTATCCCTTGTGCAGAGTTTTGTCCAGTTAAAAAGAAAAATTCTTAAGGAATTGCACATGTAAACTACAAGTTTGGGTCTTGGAAAATACAAAGGTAGACTTAGCTTTCAGTTAATCCATCATCTTCAGGAAGAAATTACATGATTGTAGCCTCAAAACACTGGGTCTTCCTTCCTGAGTTCTCGTGAAGCGCAGCCTGGTGCTCCCTTCCAGGAGGAAGGCTGTTCTGAAACTTCAAAAAAGATAAGACAGTGGGTAGGATGAGAGACTTAGGAGCTCTCCCAGAGAAAGCAGATCCATCAGTGGGTAGGGCTCCAGAGGGTACTGGGGCAGTGCAGGGCCGAGGATGTAAATCTGATCTATTTGGCAGTGGTGGTGCTGTTTTCTGTTGCTCTGCATAAGCACAAATACTCCAGCTCCTCAGCTGGTGCTGGCAGGCAAAGAGAGAAGCACGTTATGCCAGAGTCTGAATTTATCCTGACATAGAACTGTTAGCTGAAGTTCAGTCCAAAAATAGGAGAACACATGGAAAGAGTATAGAAACAAAACCATGTAAAAGTAATATATTCCTTAGGCCTGGAGAAGGATACTTGAAGTTGTTTCTGGGCTCATACTTTGTTCTTCTCTGTTTAAGAGAAGAGCCTTTATGCAGAGGGAATATATTCCACAAAGGTTTTATTCTTTCCTAGACTTAGTGCCCTGCTTTTGTTTATTTATTTGTTTTGTTTGAAGAGAAAACATTCCTATCCTGCACACACAGCGGGAAAGTATCTTAACTTTTCTGGTCTGAGACATTTGGATGTTTCTGAAAAATAGTATTAAACTTGAGATCTGATGAGGTAATGTTCTTTAGATCCTCTGCATAAATGAGAAAAAAACTTAATGAAGGAATTAGATTATTTTAGCAAATTTTTTAAGGATTTAGGAATATCAGAAGTGTTTTCTGATCACTGACTTAGCAGTGCTCTTTGGAAAAGCTGAAGTAAACACAGTAGCATTTTTGTTCTTTACACCTATGGAATATCAGCACTTTTTAGTGCAGTCTGTTCTATCAAATCTTCAATATTGATATCACTTTAATAGCAATTTTTACCCAGGAATGGGATCCATTGTATAAGTGACTATCCTCCATGAAGGCTAGCCTCAGTTGAAAAAAAAAATAATCTGTTTCTTTTCAGTTAATTATATGTTAAATATTCTGTTTCCCTCTGGTTCTTCCCCTAGGTGAAACACTTAGCTTGCTGCCTCCCATCCACCATACCAAAAATGTCCACTTGATATAGTGTGTAAACCTTATAAATAAGCACGTCTTTATTTCCTTCTGGGTGATTCTGTCTTCAACCAGTACTTCATTTCAATTAAGCACTAGCTAAGTGGATTTAACATCAGCTCTTTGTTTAAATAAGCTGTAGAGAAGCATATTTCATAACACATCCTGTGTACTTAACTGAGTTCAGGTTCCATTTTAGAAATTATGCCCATAAAGCAAGCACTTTATCTTTTTTGTAATAAAGAAAAACATGTTTGCACAGCTAATGAGGTTAATGTTCTGCTTGGGAAAAGTGGCACATTTATTTTTTTTTCTCTTGCAGAGGGGTGTCTGTAGATTTAAGACTGAGTTGCAACCTGAAATGTGATGTTTTTATGTGCTTAAAATAATTTTTTTATCTTTAATGAGCAAAAACAACCATTTTTCATAATATATTGAAGTTGGATGCTGAGTTTGTCTAGGTTTGTTTGGATACCAGCTTTGAGATTTGTGTAGCACAAGTTTAGAACATTTTTCATGGTGTATTCAGAGACAAAAATCAGTGTCTATTATAAATACAGAACCCTGGAAGCAAAATGTGAATCACATCTTCACAGCTGTTCTAACATTTAGAGTATAAATAATTATAACATCAAGTTATCAACATTTAAGTCTTAAATGCTATAGTAAGAAGAATGTTGTTTATTTGTTTGTTTTTAAGAAGCCACGTACTTGTTAGTGCTCTTCAAATTGTCCTGCTGTTGAAATGAGTTTAAGTCCATTAGAAGTTTGTTCTTTTATTAATGTTGAAGAATACTGAAACTTTTTGTTCTTTCTTTTATGTTCATCTTCTCACTAATTGGTAATTGAAGCTGTTGCGTGGAAAAAAAACGTTCAAGTGTCATGTTTAGATTTTTCATTTCCATTCCAAGAATAGTCCCACTACTTTGCAAGAGTTAATCCTTGAGTAGCTCTTTACTGAGGAAGGAAGTTTTAGCCCAAGATAATCTTCAGTCAGTAAAGTTAATAGCACTACTTGTTGAGGATTTTGAAATGTAAAACATAACATAACTTGGATTTTGTTCTAATTTTAGAGCAATATATTTTGCTGCTTACTCAAATTGCAAGGAAAAGCTGAACAGTATTTTCAATCCAGATTCTACCCAGGTACACATGATTTCAGCTGGTGTGGCAGGTAAGGATCTGTAACTTTTTAGCTTCATCCTACAGTCATATCTGCAAATGAGAGGTGCCAATAAATATGGAAAAAAAACCCCAACAAAACAGAACATGCTCAGTAATTGAATTATGTCTTTTTAGTTGTTATCTGCCTTGGCCTCTCATTAAACAGGCTCTCTGGTGAATATATGCATGAAACTGCACTAAGTGACAAATAAGTGTGTGTGAGCAGTCTTCTCTAGAAAACCTGCATGCCTGCTTTTTCAGTTGTAAATTTGAAACTGAAAGTGAAATGAAAAATGTAACCTGTCAAAAACTTGTAGCCTTTCAAAACTTGTTGCTCTGTAAGCTATAAACAGTGTTTGCTTTGACTTCTGGTTTAATTTTTCCTAATCAGTTTTTTTACCACCACTTTCTGGTACGGCTTTGTATGTTTGACTTATTTTTGTCTTTCAGAAATGTGCCTGCAGTTATTTGTGCAAATTATATGTAACACTCTCCCCTCCTTTGCTCATATGCCAGTCTATGAGAAGTTTGCTCTACCGCTAAAGAGTCAGAGAAGAGCAGATTTTTCATAGTTTTCATGTATTTCCATCTCTGTAGAAATAATTTGTATTTTATATCTGCAGTGTAGCTTTGGTGTATTTTAGCAGCTACAAATATCTGTTACTTGATTTGTATATTCTGTGCTTTGGGATCATTAATAAGGGGGAGTTAAAGGCAACTGAGCTATGGTCATGGACTCTCGCTGAGAAAATCAAAACTTGGGTTGGCAACACTTTATCTATTGTTGCCTGTGCCTTTCCTGCACAAGAACAAATGTTCAGGTGTTTTTATAGGCCATGGGCACTTTGCAGATGAATTCTGACAGTTTAATTGTTGAAGTTTCTAAGTCCTGTCAAATTTTACAACCAGTCCATAGAATGTGAGTCCCAGCAATCTGGAATGGACTGATGAAGGTGTGATGTCAGAATAAGAAATAGGATTAGTTTTCTATTTAATGCTTGCTAAAAATCTGACACATGGAGATTTTATTTAGTGTATAAAATAAAAGTGAGATTAGTTTTATACCTAAATGACACTAATGTTTATCTCTGGCACATGAAATGTTGAGGCAGTTTTCAATCTTTAAGGTGTAAGAAGAGCTCTTTCATTTTGCCCAAGTCAAACAAGGATGATGCAGTGTTTGGTTTTTTATCATCTAGAAGTGTGTTCTTGTTTGTAGGTGAACAGCAGAGGGAATGGGATGGAAGGGGATTTAATGAAGAGTTCATCCTAATCAGTTAATTGCATCAGAAAAGATGGTGTTCAGGTCCTTGTCAAGGGAATAAAACATGCCCTTAATTTGGGGGCAGAGAGAAGCGTGGGCGATATAAACAAGTCAGTCCTCAGTTGAAGACAACTTGTGCATCTCGTTCAGTGCTGCAGACAAGATTCTGAGTGTTCCTCATATTTGGAAGTTCCTGCCCTCATTCTGTAAAGCACATTTATGGAGATGGGCTGCATTGCCTTTTCCTGAGTGCTTGCAGCCTCAGCTGTTTGTCATGGAGCTCTGTAGCTGCTTCCCTTCCAGAAGGTTTGCGTTGTGCATTTGTACATACAGCTGCAGTGGACTGGGGAAATGGATTTGAGCCTTAATTGCTGTTTGCCTTTTTTTACTTTTGTGTGCAGGTTTTAACATTGAACAGCTCTTGAGGCTGTTAACTTTCTCATACTTCACAGGTTCTGCAGTTGTATTTCTGAACCACAGTCAGTGAAACAGAATGCTCAGCACAGACTCACACCATAGGTCTTGTCACTGTACAGTACAGAAATTCTCAGGTTCTTTGACAAACAACATTTCAATTCTCTTTTCTGGTTATTCTGATATATGAAAAGGACTCTGCAGTTAAAATTACCAGTACTTTCTTGGGAATGTGCTAACCTTGTTTCTGTAATTCTAATATATTTCAGAAAATGCACTTAAACCAGCTATTAACAGTTTTACCTGCAAGGTTTGTATTGCTGTATAATACAAATCACCTTAAAGCAATGGCAAAATAACAGGGACAAGATCAAATGTGAGCTTTTATTTGGTTGACAGGTTAATGCAGAAGACCATTGCAATATTTGCTTTGGAACCTAAGATTTCAGAATTGTCGAGGTGGAAATTAAACTTCTGAATTAACAAAAAAATAATCAGTATTGGTGTTTTTCTTTTTCAGCTGCCATTGGTTTCAGTAAGGAATTGAGTAATTCAGTCTTAAATGAGGGTTGTCGTTTTGTTGGTGGTTTTTTGGTGGGTTGGTGTTTTTTCTGGATATGACCTTTCTATTTCATAAAGTTTAATACCTAATTAGCATGAAGTGGGATTTGCACTTACAAATCTTTTCCTGTAGGTTGCAAAACATGGTAATGATGTAAAAATACATTAAAAAAATTGTAACATTGTTTTATGAAAGTACTGCAAATACTGAATTTTAGTCTATTTTAAATTCTGTTTATTTGTATCATGTGCTAATACATGTCTCAGGCTAGACTGATGTCATTGTTAAATAAGGATTGTTTTGTGTACATGGTGTTTTTGGGAGTAAAAAGCTGAAGTATAGTATTTGAAGCATTTTTGTTGGTGGTGGTTTTAGGCCTGATTCTTCATTCTCAAAATATATATTTATGGTTTTAATATTCTTCTACTGAGGGTGAAGTATCTACATATTAGTAACTGATGCCTTATGTAAACAGAAATGAATGCTGTCTTCTTGCTGTGCTAGTTTCCAGCATATAAAGCACATCCCCTTCATACCTAAAATATCTGTGTTGACATGGAGAAGTACTCAGCAATCCTTTTTGCTTACTCCTCAGCACATTGTGGTTCTCTTTTTGCAAACTAGGGCACGGCATATAACTGAGCTTGCTACAACACTGAGTATTTGCTTGTGTGAAGAGAGTTGATTTCTGGACATTTCCAAGTTAGGCTAAATTCTCAGATTCACTCTGAACTCTGCCTTTTCATTGCACTCAGCCTCTCTCACCACAGAGAAGAAAAGCTGTAGAGAACTGAACGAGATACTTGATTCCTGTATAGCTTTCTTGTTTGCTTTTATAATGATTCACAGCCTCAATCAGACAACATGGTTGCAAATCTGCTTCAAAACTACTTTGCCTTGTATGCTGTTGCTGTTTTTTCTAGAACTTTACTGGCAAACCAACCCAAATGCAGATTTTTTTATCATTAATATTTATTTATTAAAAAATAATTGGGACCACTTTATTACTTAGAAGTAGATTACTTTGTAAGTTTTTAGTGCTATGTACACAGTTAATTCATACCAAATAAAATGCATATTTAGTTCACTCATCTTAGAAAGCTGGATTTCATAAGGCATCTTTTCTGTCCCAAGACTAGGCTAGCTTTAGTGAGTAATATTTTCAAGGGAGTGGGGAAGGAGGAGGGTACACTTCTAAATTTGCCATATAGGTAAGTATATGGAGGTATAAAATTAAACTGCTGCAAATGAGCAGAAATTTCAGTACTCAGTGCATTTTACACATCTATTTTAATATCTGTGGCCTGTTTTGATTATTTTTCTTTCTTTTTTTCCTAAACTTTTACTTGCAAACAGTTAGATTTCCCAATAACTAATTGACAAATCCTTCCGCTGGGATTCGATTTGTACACTTGTGTCTGATGAGGTCACTGCTTGTTGTTATGATACAGAAAAGCCTGTGTCTATTTTAGGCATTTACTGTACATTTCTCCCGTGAAAAGAGTGAGATCGTGTCATCTCATGCTCCCCCTCCGCAGGTCACTTCCTGCAGCAATATGGACTAACTTAAACCTCGTGAGTACTGAACTGAGCGTCTCTTGCAGCCTCTAGTGTAAGAACCACACATTGGGTTTGTGATATCTATTGAATAAACAACGTAAGGGGAAGACACTTGTAGCTTGAACTCAGATGATGTGCATTGTGCATAGACATCACTTTTCCTGAACTCTATTTAGAGTGATTTTTTTTTTTTTTCCTGTGCCATTCAGGGAAAGGTAGGAAATACCTTTCACTGAGAGCTGCTACTGTACTTAGCTCTGGCTAACTGAAAGCCCCTACTGGGTTAAACAAGGCATTTTGGGTTTTTTTTTCCCTAGTGTTCCAGAGCTGCCTTTAAAATGCTGCAGCTGATATTCTCTGTTGCCACATTTATTTCAAAGACCTCTTTTCTTTTTCCTTTTTAATATGTGTGTATAATCCTTGCTGTCTCTTTCTGTTTACTCTTTTGGTTTATTTTTATTTTATTACTTTTAAATTTTAATTCATCATTCCATGTTCACATATGTATGTATCAATTACATTGGCTTATAGATTGAAAAGCACCAACCCTGTCCTTGGAAATATTATGCATAATAGGAATACCTGGGATCTTACCTGTCAGTAGCTGGGATAGCTGAAAAAGTAGATTGAGATAATTCTGTAGGAAACCGAGATACAATAAAATAAAACTAGAGGAGTTTGTAGTATTGCCAAATTTATCTGTACTTGTCAGGAATCTGGGATCTTTCTTGAGGGTGCAACACCTTGATAGGCATTGTAAAGTATTATAAAGATCATTGAGGCTTTTAAAAAGAAAAAAGGAAACAATTGGTGGAGCTTCATGGCAGTTGTTGAAAGCCCCTAAAGTTTGTTTGAATAAATACTTTTTTGCTACAGATTTTCTGTATTTAAAAGTCAAACTTTATCTTCTCAAGGATCCCAAATGTTATGGTTCATGTTTTGGAGGGCTTTCCTTGGTGTCAGCATCACTCAATTCTTAATTCATTTTGCTTCTTCACTTACTGCATTTGCTACTTTAGCTGTAAGAATTGACCTGTAGTCATCTCATCTTGAAACCTGAGTTATTGAAGGCCCTTTCATTTGAAAACTTTGGTTTGAACTGTCAACTTAGGTCTGTGACAGCCATGAGGAAAAATATTGGCCATGTTGCTGAGTGTCTGATCATACTGTTGGAGGTGCTGCATTTAAATTACGCTTAGAGTGACCCCACGAGTGTGTTTTTGAGTAGAGTAGGGGTTGCATCCTGTGCCAACCACTTCTCATTGGAAATTTCCAATATACTCTTCCCGGTCAGCCTAGAAGTATCAGGCTGCTGCAATGGGTGAATGCAGTCACAGTCACTCAGCCAGTGCCCGTACCTACACATTACCTGTTCCAGATTCAGGATTTGCAGACACCCTTACTTTGAGTTGAATATGAAGGCGAAAGACTGTGTGTTACAGTCGAAAAGTTACAGAATTCCAAAATGTGCAACTTAAATAGGAATGCAGAAGGCTTTTTAGCTTTGTTCACTTGTAATTGAGAACTAGGAGAGACTGAAGAACTAATTTTGAGTTTTAGAGAAGTCTTTCCTGAAAGATGTGTTGGTAGGGAAAGTGAGTGATTTTCCCCCACCTTACTTCAAAGCCTTTGTTGCAGTTCTGTGCATTTTCCTAGTGCACTTCATGCCAGAAGGATTTTGATTGGAAGTCAAACAAAACTTTATTAGTGACAGTGTAAGGAAATAAAAATGTGTAAGAATGAAGTTTCCTTTCAGTGTAGTTGAGCTCAGGCTCCAATGCTATTGGAATCAGTGGAGTTCCTGTGACATTGTGACAGGTCAGACAGGCTATGGCTACTTGAGCTGCGGAGCCTGTTTTGCACATGCTGTGTTTTCAAAACATCCCATGCCTTATGGCAGAATAGTTGCCCAGTGCTTTGAGTTTTTACATCATTATTTATCTCCATGGAATAGAGATATCAAACTCTTGGCTTGTTAGGATTTCACTCCATCATATGAAGGTTATATCAGTACTGAGATATAGGAAAAATGAGTAGTGAATCAGAAAAAAAGAAAGCCAACTCCAAACCTTTATTATCTACCACAGGAAGCTGCTGAAGTTTGAGTTAGTTTAAAAATCTGTTTAATCAGAAAATTGAACAGAAGCCTCCATCTGTTTTTATTCTTTTGGAGAAAACCAGCTCAGTCTTAGTCACTGCCAAATCTGTTAATTTGGTTTTAGAACCTGACCTTATTTTCAGACCATTCTATAAACCATAATGACCTGTTTAAGCTTTGGGGGTGGGCACAGATCAAACAGAACAGTTAAGATCCCCTGGCATTTCTGAGTATTGCAGACCTTTGTGTGCAATGTAAACCTAGATTATAATTGAACAGGAGTAACATGTATGCAACCAGTTCTGCTAAATCTATTTCTGAGCTGTTACTGATCTGATAAACGAACTTATCAATAGCCTGTTGCTGGATAAGTACCATGCCCCAGCCATGCACTGAACAAGGTAACTCTGTCCTTCCCCACACACCCAGTCCATCCCCTTGCAGGAGAGCAGTATGTCTTTGTAGTTATATACCAGCCACGTGTGTCACTTAGAGAGCAAGTGTCTAAATTTATCATCTCTTGCCTGGCCATGTTCCAGCTTTTTCCTTTTCCTATTCTCTCCTGCAGACGTGACACCTCATTGATGGTGCATGTGTGGTGTTACAGCTTGAGATGATTTATTTTTTATTTTTTTTTCAGAGCTGCTTTCCACTCTGCTTTTTTTCTCTCTCTCTCTCTCTCCACAATTGTGCAGAAGTAAGAGTGATTCTTACTTCTTTTTTTTCTTTTTTCCTTTTTTTTTTGTTTCCTTTTTTCTTTTTCTTCTGTTTTCTTTAATGGACTGAAAATCAAAGCTTTAACCCTTAGCCTTTATGCAAGCCTGAGTAGTGGCTGTCTGTCTGAATAGTTAGAAATCATAGTATTTACTTTAACAATTTAAACACTCATATGCTTGTAAAAGTATTCCAAGGCCAGCCAACAATCTCTGCTTTGACTACTAAATAAAAGATTAGCATTCAAATATAACTGCTCTTTATAGTTCATTATTAAAAGGTCTCTTAATTTACAGTAATAAATGCCTTTTAACTGCACCAAAAGTAGTATTTATTCAGTCTGCATGCTTTTAAACTCGGATTGTATTTCAGGTAACAAAGTAAATTGAGGCAATGTTGTATAGCATCTCAAATTGCTACTGCTGTCTCTGCAATGCATTCTTACTGACTTTTTTGCCCAATTGGCTAATAGTTGTCTAGTTGGCATTGCTGTTCTGTGGTGTCAGAACAGGGTTGGTATTAGATAGGCAGAGAACTGTACTTAATTTGGCTTATTTTATATGGGGCATCACTTGCTAAAACTCAAACTTACTCAATATTAATGTAAAATTAAAAACAATCTAAGTGCTCATTGGCTGTATGGATTCACAAAGTGTCAGTAAAATGGGGACTTCAGAAAATCAGTATAGTCCGAGTTTTTGCATCCACTGTACCTTAACTGTGTGTGTTTGGAACTTAGATGCAGTTGTTCTTGTGATATTATCACATCTAATTTTGTTATTTTTACATTTTTTAGGCTTTACTGCGATCACAACAACTAATCCCATTTGGTTGGTAAAGACACGGTTGCAGCTTGATGCGAGGTAAAATGACAATATGAAATCTCATGCTGTGACAAGATTGTACTCAAGTGTTGTGAATCTGTTCTGCATTCTGAAATAGAATGAATTCTTAAACATTTAACATTTCAGATTTGGAAAGTTGTTGCTGGTCTCTCTACAAATTATACTATTACTTCTCTTTTTTAATCCATTCTGAGACATGCTTGAGGCACTGTAGTAGACCGATCAGAAAATCTGGAATAAATTACAAGGTTAATAGTTTCATTAAAATCAAGTTCTGCCAACCATATGCTTACATTTTCATTCAGTAACATGTTCTCTTTAACTGTTGAGCTAAACATTCCTGAAATATGGATTCAGTATTCTAGCATGTGTTTAGAAAAAGGCTTTAAACGTCCTCAAGATTTTTTTTATTGTGGCTGAGGGGTTTTTTTGCATAGTTCTAGCCTATAAAAAGGGAAAGACTTCTTTAATGGATAGAAACAGGAATTGTCCTAATATGGGATAGTCAATTGTTTGGGCTTACCATAGAATTGACTACAGAAGTGATTTGTTTTGAAACTAGTAATGAAAGTAGAATTTTATGCAAATAGGAGGACAGAACACTGTATTCCCATCTATTTAAACCTATAGGGAGGGACTGGTATGATGCCATATGATGTGTCCACATGAGTTACCATAACTCCTTAGGAGGCTATCTGTTTTATTCTGTGAGTTGCTCACTGAGACCTCTGCTGGCACAATCCATGTGCCTGCACTTGGCAGCTGTAGTGAAGCACATCTCGTACAGGGTTGTCATGGGTTTACATAGTTGTGTACAGTATTCCAGCTACTTCAGTATGCACAACTCAATTCTGTGAGCTCAAAATGGGAATAAAACTTCATTTGCCAAGTACTGCTTGAAACAGGTATGTCTAATGAGCATTTTCCTTGACATCAGCAGTGGCTTAATTCAATCAAGTAACAGGTCCCAGTGTTGCACTGGTTGCTGTGCCAGTTGTTTGCCAAGAGCTGTAATGCTGAGAGCTGCTGTTTTAACTCTTAGCCACTGAATGCTGTCGAGCTCTTTATTGAGGCAACAATTAGGGCAAATCCATTACGCCTAAGGAAATGGTCATTTTTCTCATGAATCACTGACATGGATAGCCCATTTGGGAGTCTGTTTCCAAGCAGTTTAGTCCTTTATTGCATGAGAGTTGGGGAGGCCTAAAGCTGCTCAATGTTTTCCTGTGATACTTTTTCTTTAGTCACTGTGTGAAGTTTGGCTTGGATTCTGTGTAATGCTTTACCTGTGTTTAGTGCTCAAGGCCTTTGAGACTGGAGCCCCTTGGAGCCCCTCAGAATCAGTGTCGGTATTTCCTAAGTCTTCTCGTCACTACAAACCTGTTTAATTATTTTTCAGTCTCACTGGTTGCACCAGTTGATATTTGGACTTGTTTTCTCATTTTTAGGAATCGTGGAGAAAAGCGAATGAGCGCTTTTGAGTGTGTCCGCAAAGTTTATCGCTTGGATGGTTTTAAAGGTTTTTACCGGGGAATGTCTGCATCCTACGCTGGCATATCTGAGACTGTTATTCACTTTGTCATTTATGAGAGTATTAAGAAAAAATTACTGGAATATAAGACTGCTTCTGCCATGGGCAATGAGGATGAATCAGCAAAAGAAGCATCGGACTTTGTTCGAATGATGATGGCTGCTGCCACTTCCAAAACATGTGCAACATCAATAGCGTATCCCCATGGTAAGTGGGACATGTGCAGCTGAGACCCTGAGTCAGATCCATCAAAGGGAGTCTTCTCTGTGATATTTGTAGCCAACTTTGGTTTACTTTCTCAAGAAATATTTTTCTGTCTAAAGAGCAGACTTAGCAGGTCAACATGAGTATAGTATTCAGAAATGGAAGTGCTTTACAGTGGATATCCAGCATGACCTTTTCTTAGGCAATGTTTATTTTGCCAAGGGATTTGCCAGGGTATGGCCCAAGGTACTCAGAGATGCTTTTTCAGTTGGAATCTTTCCATATACTTAGCAATTTTCCATAATGTGCCAGCAAGTTCTTGTCCCCCTTCTAGGAAACAGGCTGTCTAGTTTGTGTGTCAGTTGCACTTGATCTTCCTGCAGAGTAGTTTGTTTGTTAATGAACTGAGTACTGAACTAATGTCAACTTCTGAGCTAAAATGTAAGCCCAAGCAACAGTCCTCTTCTGGATTGTAGCTAAGCAAATCAACTTGCCTTGTTTAGTCAAATACCTAATACTTGCTCTCCTCTTACACATATTTGGTTTGATACTCTGGTTGTCTTCCTCCTCCTTTTTTTAAAAAGGAGTTGTGAGATTGGGAACTTGGGGAGGGGTATTTTTGTGTAAAAATCCCTGATCAGTTGCTGGGAAAAATAATGAAAAGTGGTGAACGTAACCACTCAATTTTTCTTTTTTTTCCACTGATTTTCTTTGTACAGAGGTTGTACGAACAAGACTAAGAGAAGAGGGAACAAAATACAGATCTTTCTTCCAGACACTCTCTTTGCTTGTGCGAGAGGAAGGGTATGGCTCCCTCTACCGAGGTTTAACTACACACCTGATCAGACAGATTCCAAACACGGCTATCATGATGTCCACCTATGAAGTTGTAGTCTACTTACTTGATGGATAGCAGTGTGACAAAGTGGAAGAAGGTGGAAGATAGAAAGACTGGAGTGGACCACTGAATGTCAATGCCAATGTGGTGGGCAAAAGGAACGTTTTATCAGGAACAAGCAGCTGTGGATAAAACAGAAGGTTGATTGTGGGCAACTCTGAATAATTTTGCTGCCTTTATTGTGTGGTCTCATGTCAATGTGACAAATGGGAACTGCCCCTTAGGGAATGCCTTCATACATCTCTTAATTCAGAATTATTCTTTTCATCTGTTAATCTAGACACAGCCATTGAGTCATCTTCAGAGACCTGATGGGTGAGGGAAGGGACATGAAATATGGTCCTGGGCAGTCCATTACCTCTTTGTGATTGCTCTCAACTACATAATTTTTGTTCTGTTTTACTGCACAGTAACCTGTTGGAGGAATGGGCAAGACAGTACTTTGATAGCTTTCTATACCTGAAACTTCTGTTTAGTTGCTCTGAAGATTCAAAAGGAGACTGAGGTAGTGGTAAGTGTGTAAAGTTTTCCATATTGCTACCTCAAGAAAAAATATGGTGCAGGGACCCAGAACAGTTATTACTTCACTACAAAAGGTGATACCTGTTGTAGCTTTTTGGTTTTGATTGTTTTAGGTTTTTTTTTTTTCCCTTGACATTTGAGCAGTGTTGTAGGTTAGTGAGAGAGGGTCTGATTGTTCAGTTCTTATCAGTCTGTTAATGTTGGTATATGTGGACTTCTGGTCCTGCTGCATCATCCTCCTTTTCTGGAACTTTTCTTAAGTAAGAGAGGCCTATGAAACATTGTCCTGTATCATCAGTTTTCCTTGCCAACCTGTTTAAGGAAGAAGTTGCTGAATGCTACTTTATAGCCTTTTTAAGATTTGTGATGAGAAATCTCAACTAGTCCAGCCTCCCATTTGTGAAGACAGGATTCACTCAGATAGTTTCATGCTGCCTAAGCACAAGCTGTATTACCCCTTAAATATCTGGCAAATCCTGCCTGGATTACCAGTATTTATATGGGAGTACTGGGTGAAAACACATATCACTGTGGCTAGAGTAAACAGAAAGCAGAAACCAGTTGAAGTTATGATAGATCCTGTCAGTGCAGACAGGCTCTGTGCAGAAGGATGGAGAAACTGTAAATGATACTTTCTTGAAAGCATTCCCGCTGATAATTGCTTTATCACTTCTGTCATCTTGAGCCTGTGTACTGAGCTATAATGTTGTCCTCCACATTGTCTGATTATTCAGGCATTGGTTTTGTTCTGTAAGCCAATTGCAAAATAATGCCTTTTATTCAGCAGTGAGGCTTAGCTGGTTTATTCCATCATAATTTACAGATTTTTCCAAAATCATACAACTGGAGTGTCAAGCAGTTTAATGTTAGAGGAAGTTTTACAGCTTTCCAGGCAAGTATCTTCTCAGTCTGCATCCATTATCCTTGTGACAAAGATGATCATTTATAAATTGAGGTCAATAGCTTTCTCCACCATATAAATGCTGCTACACTGGCATGGACAGAAATGTGCTCTCAGCTCTTCCAGTGTGGTACTTCAGTACACTTGAACTGTGCATCATGTGCAATGGCTTTATTTTAAGAATGACTTCTTATGCACTTTGTGGCCTTCTTAGGGCTTATGACTTTTCTTCCTCTTACTGATTATCTGGAATCAAACCATGTTTGAAACATGCAGTTTGGTTTTAAACAAAGCAGGTGGTTTGATTTCTGTGGAAGCTGTGCAGGAGTTTATGCTGTAAATCCATAGCATCTCTGTGACAGTAGTTCTGTAGGTCTATACAAAATCCCAAAGTTTGCAGAACAATCAGTCTGTGTTTTTCTCATTTGCTGTCCTTTATTTTGACCCTTGTCATGTTCTCCACACAGTGTCAAAGTATTTGAGTATTTCATGTAATTTTCTGTATTAATTTGTCATCCTCTAAAAGCTACCTACAGTAAGTATATCAACCTTGCAGTGCTGTATTGACTTCCGTGCTTGGAAAATGTTCCTTTTTTAAAGACATAGCATGGTGTGAGGGGTGACCACAGTAAACTTGATTGTCTCAAAGAAGTGAAAGGAGTGCTTAAATGTGTTTTAAAGTGGGTTGTTTCTAGTGATCTCTAGGAAAAGCCTGGAGTATTTATGACTGACCTAAGCCTTGATGTGATGCTTTTGTTCAGGTAAATAAATGCAGGAACAGTGACTTACTGTAATTTTTGTGAGGTAGAAAGTGGGTCACTTTCAGGTTATCTAGAGTATTCAGTCATAGCCAAAACTTAAATTGGCGAAGACCTTACTCAGCTTTGGAGTTCATGAATACAGTTAACACTTGGAGTTAGCCTAGGCTTCATGAGAGTTTGTCTCCTCAGTTTGGATACATTGTCCCCTGTTTGTCTCCCATTCCTGGGTATTCCCTGGGAACTGTGTGTGTGCCTTCTCTGGGGAAGAGCAGAGCCCCTGGAGCTGATAAGTAGGACATGTTAACAAGTACATTTGAATATGGGAGATAATAGCTAAAAGCAGACAATCAGCTTATTACTCCACCTATTTAAAAGGTATTCCAGCTTTCTTTTAAACTTCAGGGGTGATCATTTTGGCTTCCTTTGCATAACCAAACGTAACCCCAAAATTTATTGGGATTTTTTCATTATTTTTAAACTACATGAACCTGCAAAATTACCTCTGATGTATTTCCCAAAGATCTTTATTTATGTTGTTTTCTTGATATTTATTATAAAAACTCAAGGGGAATAACAAGATGCTTCATTCAATAATATCTTTAACTACAGAGCTGAAAGCAGTGCATTTAAATTTGGTCATCTTGATTTGTATTTGGATGTCATGTATTTATGTCCCACTTGTGTGTGCTAGAGGAAAGGATGTGTGAAGAACTCGAAGCAATGAATTAGTTCCTCATTTCCGTGGCTGCGCTGGGAGCCGAGGTCGGTGCGCGGCGGGTTTGGGGCCGGCAGGTGGCGCGCCCTCCGCGGGAGTCCCGCCAGGGAAAAGCCATGGAAGACTGGGCCCGGGAATGCCGTCCCTGCGCCCCTCCTAGCCCTGCAGGGCTGGGTGGCAGCAGGCGAGTGGGGCACGGGGAGAGCCGCTGTGTCTGGCCCACTTTCTGCTCTGCGTGGTTGGAAGTGGGCTTACACGAGGGAGCTGTGGAATTTTTTGGTTGTTTTAGTTGTAACTGAGACATGCCTGTCTACTTATCCATTAACACTGCCCCTTTCTCTGTTTACATAATGCACTCCTCATCATCCCTTGCTGATTGAGGTGTTAATGACAGCGGATTGTTTGTTTGTTATTGACAGTTTCTGCTAGTCTGTTTTTCTTATGACATCTGTAACATTCCTCAGACTGCAACATCATAAGAGAATGCTTCCAGAGACAAGAGTGGAGAGCCTTTATAAATGTTGCTTCCTGTTTAAACTGTTCAGATTTGGAAAACAAGCTGAATGCTGAAGTGTGCCTAGGTAAATGTACTACTTTTTTCAATTTCCTGTCTGTTAAGACTGAGTTATATAAGTTTTTCAGTTCTTCTATTTAAGAGTCTGCCTACCCTGCATATGTGAACATAACTATGCTCTCAGAGTCATAGCTAAACACTCACAGATGACAGATTGAGAATACTTCAGTACTCATGTGAGGTTTGCTATTATTCTTGCATACATGTAGTTGGCTGTAAACTATGTGCATTTACTCTGTATTTATATAGTTAACTTTTTGTTTGGATTGCTTTAAACTTCAAAGCAAATTAAAATTATGTGCTTCTATTCAAATGTTGCCTGCTGTGCTAAGCTGTACACTGTTTTTAACCTTTTAATTTTCCTATTATTGATACATACCAGTGCCTGCACAGTTGTGATTAAAAATGAAAAATTCATTAACCCAGTGAATCATTTCATCTTGTGCCCTTTTATAGTAGCAGAAAATAAGGTGTGTGTATTGTACCTTTAATATTTCCTTTTTGGAGGGATTCATGGATGACTTAAACCAGCAGTATGTATTGGTGCAGTCGGATTTGAACACAGTTACCTCTACGGAATCGAGTGCTCCTGTCAACTGAGATCCAGGAGCTGGTCACCACAAAACTCATGTCCATTTGAAGTGCTAGCTAGCACAAGCCACTGCTGACAAAACTGAAGGGCCATAATTCCTTAAAATGCTCAGAGTTAATTGCATGTGAGGGTTATAACCAAGTCCTTGAACCTGACACATTGTTAGATATTGATACTGTTTTTCTTATGATGGCTGGTGTTTGATCTGAAGTCTGTCCTGAGCTCCCCACAAATCATTCTGCAAAGGCGTACATGGGGCTTGTTTGGTGACTGCTGTTTTTCCCCCTCACCGTGTCTTCGGGAACTGAATCTTTGCAGGTTCTATGTATCTGATTTGATTCTTTCAGCTGATCAAAACTACTTCAACACTTGCATTAAATGAGCACATCTGTGATAGCTTTTTTCTTTCAGTATGTGTTGCTGTGAATTGCCCTACCTTGCCACACCTTCTAGCTCCCAGGCCAGCCAGGCTTAGAGGTAATCAGTCCTCTGGAACCAGTACAGGCAAACAGTGTGCTTATCCCTGACACATCTGAAATTACGTCTCTAACTGGCATAGCTGTAATTGTGTGTAATTGATCTTTCACTTCTACCCTGCAAAGGAGGCACTTTGGCAGGGCAGAGCTCAGGGTAAGTCTGTGAGGGTGTTTTGAAGTTCATTCTGCTTTACAACCCCTTCTGCTAATGGGGTTGTGTTGAGCTTGGTCAAAAAGGTTGTGTGTGAAATGAAGGTACATTCAAAGTGCTAATTGGTTATGACTTGGAATTAATGCAGCAGTGCAGTCCGACAGAGGTGCAGCCTAAAAGCACATAAGGCTTGACAATGATGTCTTTCTCAAATGAAAATCCTTAAATTTGATAATGCACTTACACTAAAATAAAATGTACTTCCAAAAACAAACACTCCCCTCATCTTGTGTGTGCTGCTGCCAGCCACTGTGCTCTGTGCTGACTCAGAACATCCTTATATTCCTGCACAGCTTCTGCAAAAGGCAGGAAATGCCAGGGCTGTAATCCAGTTTTCATGAGCAAATTGATGCAAACAAAATGGTGTCCTGAACTGTGAAAGGCAGATTAGAGCACAGGGTCTTTTGTTTGTGTAGATGGAATATTTCAAGGGATACTCCCAGGACTGGGCTCCCTACTGCAGACACCTCAGTGATGGAGTTGTGTGAAGTTGACTAGAAGCTTTCCGAGACAAGCTCAAGATGGTGAAATGCTGGTAATTCCAGGTAAACCTCGACAAAGGCAATGTTTCCTCCATTACCTGTGGCTGTTTGAAAGTTGGCAGCTTTTCCTAATTCTGCTCTGTAGCAGACGCTGGGGATGGCACTGAGGATGTGTGTTGGATTTGTGTAACCAAAATGCAAAGCGGTCTGTTTTGAGACTTGGTCATTCCCCCCAGGTTCTGAGATACAATGTGCAAGTGAGGCAGCAAATACTTCAATGTAAGAGTGTCACATTGTAATTAGAGACTATGTAACATAGGACCAGTATTTAAAAGGGAAAACAATTACATAGGAAAACTACAGACTCATGGTCTTACCTGTCAGTCTCTGCTAAAGGCAGGGTAAGAGTGGAATATCAGCAAAGGGACCCTGAAAAATAATAGATGGGCTATTATATCCTAAGATATCCTAAGAGAAGGATAAAATGGGTTGGGCTGGAAGAGGCCTTAAATTCTTGTTCCAACCCCCCTGCCAGGGGGACAGGACACATCCACTAGACAGTGTTTTTCATGTTGACCATGGCTAATTCACTCTCTTACATGAAATAAAGGCAATGACAAAAGGAAAATAATTGAGGTATTAGTCAGCTGAGCTTTGAATAAGGAAAAATTACCAGCTCACTCCACTGCAGGGAACAATTTAGCAGTAGTGTTTGCAAAATGGTTTATTATTATTAAGTAGGTTTAGAGGTGTTTCTACAGGAAGAACTGATGAGCTGACCATAATATGAGATTATTTAAAATTGCAGCTATAGTCTTCTATGGAATGTTGTTGAGGGAATTTGGATTATGATGAACATTACTGCTGTAACATTGTGGAGTGTTAATCATGAGCAACCTGGTCTAGTGGGAGGTGGCCCTGCCCATGGCAGAGGGAATTGGATGATCCTTGATGTCTCTTGCAACGCAAAGCCTTCTGTGACTCTATGAGCAAGCTACAGATGTGCACCTTTGGAATGTCAGCTGCCTTCTGAGTAGGCTCCAATTGATGCAGAATGTTTTAGGTTAGTATTAATGCTTGCAAATTAATTTTCTGCAGCTACATAAGAAAAATTATGTAGTCAAACATTCTTGATTTAACTTTCTCTTGGTTTAATTTTTGAAGATTTAAGAGTGTTAGTGGGAAGAAAGCATTTCCACCTGTAATATCTGATTTAATAGAGCTGTAATTTAGCCTGTTAATTTCAAGCATTACCAAGTGGTTCCTTGTGAAAAAGCAGTGTAAGTCCAGGAGACCGTGAGGGCCTAGTGTAAAGATGCCAATTTTTGTGAAAGGTCATTCTGAATTTTTGACCCTGAAACTGGGGGCTTGTTCTTGACCTTGGCATTTCTGGTCTCTGGACTGAGGGTGATCAAGAATATTAAAAGAGCTATAGAAGAGTACCCATTTGCACTTAGGGAAACTGATAATTTTGCAAGTATGTGAAAATCTAATCCAGTGTAGTGTGCTTTTTCTGCCAGCCAACCCTCCTATTCAGTGTAAATGACAGCACTTCACCCTCTGGGCAAAATGGTGAATTTGTTCAGGCCCAACTATATCTTTTCATGATGCAATTTTACCCCCTTCTACCAAAAGTAGCTTTTTTTTTTCGTACAGTGACATGGTTTTCCCTACTGTTTTTCTAGTCATAAGAATTTCAGTGCAGAAACAGTGGTGTGGTGTTTTGGGAATTGCATACCAGCTAAAGCAATTCCAGTCATTGTTCTCCCAGCTGTATTTCCACCCCTCTGTGGACCCCCCACTTCAGCTTTTCCAGGTTAGTGGGAAATCAGTAAGAATTAACAAAAGTAAAATTACATTAGTGCCTAAAAGATTAATTTATGCTGATTATTTGTTTGCAGGGAATCAAATGTCTCCTACCACGAACAGAAAGTCTCTAACATGGTGAAAAGTTTGATACTGCTTAAGCAAGCACTTTCAAGGTTAAAGATAATGTTAATATCTTACAGTCAGAATTAATGTGCAGCACAGTAGGGTCACCAACAGTAAACCATGAATGGGTCATAACACTTAGAGAACAGAAGTACCACATAAATTCACATTCATAAATAACATCTGGAGTCCCATAGGACAGGAAAGGAAGTATATTTCAGCTTTCTCATATTTTCTCTCAGTATGTGAAACATTATGAGAATTACTTCTTATTTAAGGTGACTAAATGTAAAGGGATGTACATATAAATTACTGAGAAAAAGCTCTTAGGGCTGGATTGTAACATTTTGTTGAGCTTATTATGATTGAGGTTCATTCTGTATTTGTAGTTTCTGATTATGCCAACCTAATTGTCAATCAGAAAATCTTGACCCAAACTACTTAAGATGTATTTGGCACCTAGCAGCAAGTTGTAGAATTAACAAATGAAGTGAATTATCTACTGTACTTCCTACAGAGTCCATTTGCAGAGCTCTGTCTGAAGTGTCCCTGCTCTCCAGAGATGAGGGTGTAAGACACTAGAAAGACGTGCTGTTTTATATGACTAGTCAATACAAAAACATGGTTCAGAGTGGCAATTCTAACAACAAACAACAAAGCCAAGACCCCGGGCTTGAAAAGCCTGGATAAAGCTTGAGTATGTCAGTCTATAGAGATATTAGTGCTTTTCTTCACATGTTTATAACAAGTGTTTTCTTCACATGTGATAAATATTTGGAAGTGGATATGACTTGAAAGAGAGACTCTTCAGTAGGTCACACTTCTAGTACAGTTTCATTTATGATGTTTTCTGTACAGGTTGATATTAAGGATAATTTTTGTGGTTGATAAACTTCATAAATTCTACTAAGTCAGTATGTTGTATATGACTTCAAAATGTCTAATACCTTGTTGTACTGTCTGTGGCATTGCTGTTTAAATAGATCATTTTGCACCTCCCAAGGATTTATAAAATTTGCAGAAATGACACCTTAATGTGCAGGTTTAATATTACTACTGAGCAACAATGTGATTTAAAGATGGTTTATGGCTTAAAAATGGCCTGGGAATGATGGTAGAGGACTACACAGTCGGAGCTTAAAGATCATTGGAAAGATAAGTAATTTTTTCCAGTTCAGAACTGTCCCTGCCCAGCTTCCCAGAAGGGCCTTGCCACTCAGCCAGCCTCATATAAACCTGTATTGTTACTGTTCTGTGACTTTTGTGTATGGCTTGAGTAACAGCCAGAGCACCTACAGACACATAAGAAATTGGTCCCCTCTCACTTAGCAATGCAGGACCAAACAGGGATTCTTGTGTGGTTAAATCCAGTTCCTTGTGGGAGATTGTGGCCTATACCATTCATAACTCTACCAGGCTTCATCTTTAAACTAATTAGGTTACTTGTTCCACTGGGAGGTTGCCTTAAAACCTGTCTTTCTTGTGTTGAAACTGCTCTAATTTACTGTCCTAGCAAGAGTACATGTAGATTTATATCACCAGTGACAATAAGTGCCAACAGCCCTCTAAAGAGTCACTTGTCGTAGGTACTTCTTATTGGAGTTTCCTTGATTTCCCTTTTTCTGCTGGCTTTCTTTTGCTTTTGAGTAGCATCTTGCATATGGAAAAGTGGCCTGGGTTGCCTTGTTCTTGGATTTGCGTAGTAAAAATGCTGTCTTATTTTTATTTTAAAACAGTTCATCATATTTGTACAAACAAGCTGAATAATCAGCCAGCTATTGTGTCTTACAGTTAGGAAATAGCACAGCTGGCCCAGCTTCTGTGCACCCCAGCGATTAATTCAGACTGACTCTCTTGGATTGTTTTTGCTGTATCTTGGCTCTCAATTGCAGCACTGACTCACACATTCTGTACAAAGTTTTTCTATGGTTCTATAGACACTAAATTTCCTTTCAGTTATACATGAAATTATGACACCATTGAAATGCAACCTTGTAATATTTTTGCTTGCATCCTTCTGTGGGCCTGATTCTGCCCTCCTAACCTGCCTAAATAAATCCTTCTCATTTGATGCCATCCTGCCAGCCTACTACTGCTCTTCCAGCAGTACAGTGTAAGGCTCTCCTGGATAAACATTCCAGTGGTTTTTAGCTCTCTTTCATTGCTGCACACCTACAGCTGTTCCTGTAACTTTGGGGAACTGTTGTCCTGATGTTACTGCATTGTGTGTGTGCCTGACCTTCAAGCCTACAGAGTCCTTCAGTGGAGGGGTTGTTTAAAGTCATGGGAGAGTCAACACTTCCATTCCTGGCTCTGCAGCTGTGCACAGCCACCAGTAAATCACCTTCCCCTCTCAGTGGGAATTAACCACGCACTGACAGGCTGTGGATATAAATAACAACGTGTGTGGAACTTAAGGTGCATTCAATTGATCTGTCTGATAATAAAATAATTCACTGGCAGCTGGTCTTCATTACAAATTTCATCACTGTTACTGAAAAAGCTGAATTGTTATCCTCCCTTTTTCTTTTCCCCGAGAAAGTTTTCCATTTCCCATTATTTCCTGCTGGGAAATACATAATTCATAAAACAGGTGACTGCACTGTACTGATCAAGGCTAATGCCGACAGAAGGAATCTTGTGGAGGGGGAAACCTACTTCCTGTGGGGGAGAAAGGTGTTCCTGTAGAGAGTTAAATCACTGATTCATATGAAAAAGAAAAAAAATCTGTCTTCTTTTGCACTAATCTCAATGCCAAAGAGAACTAGATTTACAGGTAATTTAGTGAATCACAAAAAGCTGTCTCTTACTTTTTCCTTTGACAGAAATAGCTTTCTGCTAATTTCAGAAAGGCCTTCTCTGGACATTGTACTTAGAGTGGTTTCCTGGATTCCTCTAGATGAGAGTTTGTTTCATTCAAAAGGGATTATACATCTTGGGCTCAGAGAGCCTTTAAATTAGAGCTGCCTAAGTGTAACTAAATTTATGGCAGCATTCTCTGTTCCTCAGGCTGTTACCTCATGCCCTCACGTAAGGTACTTTCACCCAACCAACTACAAATCCTAGCACAAGTCTTGCATAAGTGAAGCTATTAAATTGACAAGACCAAAGGGGGAAAATAGGTGCATAGCAGTCAAATTACAGACTTAAATGAGCCAAATCATAGTTAATTTTCCTTTTTATTATTAGAATTTTGTTTTGATTGTTTGGGGAATTGGGGAATCCTATGAAGCTGAGGTAAATCCTTTGATATTTAACAGTTTATGAATATTTTCATCATGACATCTAATTCCTATACTCATGCTTTGAGAGCTGTTTTCTTCATGAAGTGAAGCTACTTTATCATTGAAACCATATAAAACCCTAATAAGTAGCAGTTCTGTGACTGTAGTGCTGGACTGCTTTCAGTATGGATTTTTTTGTTATTGCTTAGTTGAGATTTTGCAAATGAAAACCTATTGTATTTTTGCCTCTATTCTGAGACAGAGGGATATTTTGACATAACCAGGAATTGCTTCAGGGTCTGTGATAAGGGAGCACATTGGAAATAATCTTTGTTTTCTCAACACAGAACATTTCAGAACAGGACTGGCTTTTGTCTGAGGGAGTGCACTGTCATCAACTCTCTGCACACTTCCCTGCCATGCTCCTCTAGGTCTGACGCTTTTAAGGACAACTCCTATGCAGGAAGATTAACTGAGATGTGGCTGAGGAGTCTGAGAGTGAGAAGTAACCAGAACTATTTGAAAGGCATTATGCCTGGTATGGACACAGGACAACTCCATGGGATGGAATTGCAGGGAGGGAGAAGGGGAGCAGCTGAATGGATGAATGTTCAGACTATTTATAGGCTTCCTTCCAAATCTTGTTTGGAAGGCTGGCTTGCTTCCTTCATCTTAGTGAAGCTATCAGATCAGCTGTATTACTTGTAAGGATTTTTTATTAATAGAACTGCTGGAGAGGCTTTTGGCTTTTTGTTGCAAAATGTAAAGAACTATCACCACAATGCATAATGCAAAGCAGGCATTTTAAAATCACCACACAAAATCTCAATGGTCCTGAATTGAAAATATAAGTAGACCTAGAGAACAAGCAAAAAGTATAAATTTTGATGCTGTTCTGAAGGGGAGCTGTGAATTCAGCTTTCAATATTTTCTTGTCATAGAGGTTGCTGTGACTTTCACAGCAGTGAAGGGGAAGGAGCTGTAGATTGAAGGGAA